CTAATTTAGTGAGAACTAAGCAAAAAAAATAATGTGAACCATTTTTTTAGATGCGTTAAACATTGAATGGGGTCAGATTGACCCCAAGGATAACAGGAGGGTTAAAACATCACTTTGTTAAGTTCAGAAATGATTTCATGTTATTAAATGTTCACCTTTTCAAATCCTGCTTCAAGCTGTGTATCACTTGTGCTCCTTTTTACTTCTGAGTATTTTGTAAAACGTATAACTTAAAGAATGGCTAAGCAGTCATTTTCTTGCATAGTCAAACTTCACAAGGTGAAATTATTGTTCTAAATCAGGGGTGTCAAACTCAATTTCATCGTGGGCCACATCAGCATTATGGTTGCACTCAAAGGGCCGGTTGTAACTTTAAAACTATATAAAAATACATATATAAATATATCATATATATAAAATAATGTATTATATTACATTATTGCCTCTGCATTGGATTATCGGATAGGGTGATAATAACTTCATGATTAACTACGACTGAAAGCAGAAGTCTAGGGCAAATAATCGCAAGTCTCTTCAGTGAGAATGTCACAAAAATGATTTAAAAAGAAAAGCCAAATTCTGGAAAAAAAGTCACAATCAAAAAAAAGAAGTGACATTTTGAAGAAAAAAAGTCAAATTCTGAGAAAAAAGTCAAATTTGAGATGCATTGTGCTCCATGTAGGGGCAACGTGCCTCTGTAAATCAGCCTGTAACCGTATAATAAACATATATATATTCATTGCACGCTCTTGTGGGGCCACATAAAATGAAGTCGCGGGCCGGATTTGGCCCCCGGGCCTTGAGTTTGACACCCCTGTTCTAAATGCTTTGTGAAAAACGTTTCCCCTCCTTCACAGACTTTGAAACAGGAGACAGAGGCATCATGGTTTGAGTTTGAGCTCCAGTATTCCCAGTATTCCCAGTTCTCCCATTTGATGACCAAGGAAGATGAAGGTGAGGTGGAAAGAAACAGGGAGCAGCTGACTCAGCAGTGGAGAGGACAACAGATGTACCTCCAGAGCAGGTACAGTGCACCTGATCAATAATAAAGTATTGATTCATCTCTCACGGCATGAGAACACATTTGTTATTTACCTGTCCTTCCTCTGTTTGAGTAACATGTCTTCAACTTTGTCCATGCAGTTTTGTTTTGTTATTAATGAGGGGTTAGGGTTGAAATGTGATCGTTGTCCTGAACTACATAGTCTACACATGTTATTCTAACAAGTAAAAGTTGCTTTTTTTCCATTTAGGATGAAATCTTTGGAGAATACAGCTGACCTGATGGAATCTGCAGATGGTCACATGGTGCTGATCACTGAAAGCCTGGAGCGGATCGCCAGAGACTCTGTGGACATTTCCTCCTTCTCCCTGACTGATGCCAGACTGGAATCTGATTTAAAGGTACATCCAGGCTTTTTAAGACACCTAACACTTTAATTCAGATAATGACATATGCAGAAAGTACTATTTATCCCTCTCGTGTTACCCAGGAGATGGATGACGGACTGCGGTCTGAAATGAGAAAGCTTTCAGAACGAGTTGCAGAAGAGGAAAGAACATCCCCTTCATCGCTCTGCCAGGCTCTCCACAACAGCCTTCATCACCTTCAGCAGCTCAGACAGCGGCTGGAGGAGGTTCAGGCTGCCGCTCGGGCTCTGAAATGCTTCCTGGCCACAGTAAGAGAAGTGGAGGCAGAGATCCCAGCCCTGCAGGCCACCCAGGACTCCAGAAGACAGGAACATGAGTCAGACAGGCAGCTGGAGAGACTCTCTTGGCAGGCAGCGATGCAGCAGAGGTTACAGGCTGCCAGGACTCAGTCTGATGGCGTTGACAGCACTTTAAAAGCAGCGGGGATGACTCTGACTGTGGACGGTGCCAATGTGACGTGTCAGGATGTGGTGACATCATTGTCCAAGCACGTTCTGGAAGTCGAGAAAGAGCTGAAGAGGGACGGCAAAGATGGATTCTTTTCAGTTAGAATGAAGCAAACCCAGCAGCTGAATCCTAAAGAGATACTTCAGACAACACCTGGGGAGGATTCAGCACAGCAGGGGGGAGCGCAGGAGCATCTCACCGCGTGTAAGATGGACGAGGAAGCCAAAAGGAGAAAGCTGGAAGAAGATGATGATAAAAACACACTTAAGAAGGAGGAGGCTCCAACACGGAAGTCTGAAGGGAATGCGTTAAAAAACCAGAGAAGAAGAAGGAACAGCCAAGTTAAGAAAGAAGGAGAGAAGAAGAGTATGGTCCAGAGGAGGTTTGCTTTGTTGGGTTCCCTGAGGGAGATGAGAGGAGCCGCTGAGCAGCTGAGGCTTCAGGAGCCCAGCCTGCCCGCGCTGCAGCACAGGTACAACTGATCTCTGACCACAAACTGCTTCAAGCTGCTCAAAGTTAGGAACATATTTGAACCTAAGATGCCATGTTTGTAAAGCTGCACCACAACGTCAACATCTAAATATTCAAATGTATGAAGTTAACATTATTCTGTCTTGAAATGACTATAGTAATGTCAAGACAATGGTAATGGTTTTCTTTGACTCAGATAAGACTATAATAATCAGAATACCTGTATTAGTCCCACAGAGGGGACATGTACATCGCTACAGCAGAAAAGAGCCAAACACAGCTTAATGTTACTTAAAAGCTAATAACTAATTAAACAGGATAATGTCGTCTTAGTTTGACCAAAACCAGCCAGGACATTTGACACAGGATTAAAACTAAATACAAACATAGCTGACAAAATGAACCTGTGCAAGCAATGCCTTACTGGTGTACTGAAACGATGACTCTTAACCATGTCTGCCTCTGTACAATAATAATGTTGTAACTTCCTGCAGGACTCGTGCATTGACAGAGCTGGAAAGTCGACTTGCTGGCCACCTCGCTGAGCTGCAGCACATCCGAGAGGAATCCTCACAGTCTGATGTGAGTCAGACCAGAGAGGCCGAGGAGCTCTGGGAGGAGGCCACAAAAGCTGTAACTGAACGGTAAGGGGGGAAGTTCAGTCCTCTCTGATTCATTTACATATCAGAGCCTTCTCCATCGCTGGCCCCAATCTCACCACGTTCAAATCACAAATCAAAACTCTGCTTTTAATCTGTAATTCATGTTGTGTTTTATATATTTTAAGTGTGTTGTTTTAATGATGTTTTTGTGATTTTTTTTTTAGTCTGTAAAGTGTCTTTGAGTTTCAAGAAAATTATCAAACGTTATATCTTAGCTGAGTTGGTTGAATGTGTGTGTTGTGTTATCACATGCAGGCTGGAGCAGTGTAACACGCTCACAGAGCTGCTGAAGAGGTTTCAGAGCATCCGTGGGGATCTGAGCGGGAAACTGCAGAGCGCGGAGAGCACCATCAGTGAGCAAGCGTCCTACATGGGGAGAGAAAACCTGCAGAGGCTACACACTAAGGTATTCCTCTGGTCCATTTGCATTGAAACCTAACTTGCAAATAAAGTGAAATCAAGATAGATTTTTCGTGGCTCTGGTTCTTTCTAACCCTAACCCGGACTGACCCAGGAAACGGTAACCACTGTACATAACTCATTGAACTCCTCCCCCTCTAACCTCCCCATCCCTTCTCCGTATCCTAAGACCCCCGACCCCACCCAGGGTTCATACCCCAACCTCATCCCCTACCCTGACCCCAAGTCATTCTGCCCTATACTCAGGGCTCCTACTCAAACCTTGTCCTCAACAGTTCAGTTAAGTGTGTTGTATATGTGTGTGTGGTGTCTCAGGTCCAGGACACTAAATCAGAGCTGAACGGCCTGGGTGACGGTATAGAGGAGGTCCGCAGTGTCTGCAGGCAGCTTCACACTCATCTGCGTCAGATCCCAGAATGCACCATGATCCCATTTGAGGACGAAGCGGATGCTCTCATGGACCGCTGGCTGGATGTGAGTTTCAGTCACTTTTCGTTTTTTGAAAAGCTTAGGCTGATTTTAAATGATTGTTTTCAAAAATATCTATCACAGAAGTAATTCAATTTCGGAAGATTTCAGAATTATTTTTCAATTCTCTTGCAGATTATTCATTATTTTATGAACTGTTATTAAAGCAAGATTTGCTAAACAAATAGTTTTTACCCCACTGTTTTATCTGCTGCTGCTCTCATATGTAGTAAAGCGTCCTCTAGTACAGGGGTTCCCAACCTTTTTTCCCAAGAGCCCCCCCAAATGACTCCTGTTGGAAGGGGGAGGGAAACAGCGGTAATTAAAGTTTAAAAGTCACTATTGGAGTGACTTTGATGGTTATTGGACTCAGGATTAATTCATTTGGATTCCCGCTGCATGAAGAAATTAAAGGACGGCGCAAGTGGAAACAATTCACAAAGGGATTAAACTGTTTGAAACACATGCTCAAAGTAAACCAGATTTTGCGGATGTGTTTATGTGGATTCAAAAGTTGTAAATAATTACGACTGTGACAAATAATCCAACTGAAACCGGCATGGACAATGACTATGTTTTAAAAATGCACTTATCCAGAAAAGCCCGGGTCACCTTACGGGCAGAAGAAACATTTCTATTAAAGAAACAATTATACATTTCTGTCTTTTTATGCCTTTAATAGCTACTAACTTGAATTTGTATTCAAATTAATTAATCAATTATTTTTTATATTTTATTGTAATGTAGAGACAATTATATGTAAAAAAAAAAAAGTCTAAATATGATATTTGGCCTCAAATCATCTGAGGCCTGGTGCCCCCCCCTGCGATCTTTGGCGCCCCCCAGGTTGGGAACCACTGCTCTAGTAGATTATTTGCGATCATACATTGCAATTATTGAATTTCTAAGGTCTTCTGTTGAGTTGGGTTGTGTGTGTAAGATCAGTGCTACAGTAGCATTCATTTCAAATACTGTTCTTGCAGATATCAGAGAGAACAGATTCCCACCTGGAAAGCCTGCCTCGGGGCCTGACTCTGTGGGATGGGGTCCTGCAGCTGGGGGAGGAGGTGGAGAGGTGGACGGCCAATAAACTAGCAGCATTTGCTGAGTGTCCTTCCTTTCAGACAGAAGAAGACATCAGTGCCTTGCAGGTAGACAGCATCCCTTATTCGTTCTGTAATACACAGGTTTGGACCCAATTTTTAGCAAAGATTCCTTGTTTGCTTTAAACATTGATCTTCTCCCTCTGACTGTCTCCAGAATGAGATTGTGACCCAAGAGGAGAATATGGAGCATTTCCATCAAAGAGCCACAGAGATTCAGGCACTGCTTCAAAGCACAGAGCCCCCTCTGGAGCTTCAGGTACAGCTCTTGATATAATGCTTACAGACACAGTTGATCGGATCAAGTTAGAACACGTCTCTTGATTGGTTTCCTTTGTCTACGGTAGGTGGTGGAGACCCAGATGAGGAAGAAGAAAGAGCAGCTGCAGGAGCTTGTTTCTGAAGCGGAGGACGTTTACAGGCAGATGGTGGCTGCCAAGGGACAAATCACTGTCAGGATGGCAGAGTGCTTCAGCTCCCTCCAGAAGATTCAGGACTCCCTCCTCACTCTCACTGGTGCAGATGTTGAAACAGTCCTTGCCAAACTTAAGGTTAAAACAGTTTGTATGTGTTGCAAAGTGTACTACGCACTTGATGCATATGTCATTTAAAAAAAAAAAGTTGCTATGTACTATTTAAGAAAGCTCTGATGTTATGAATCTACACATAGTGGAGTACAAAGCTAGCTTTTAAAATGCTTATCACCATCAATATCTTATGTTTCTCTACAGGATCTGCTGTTCGAGCTCCAGGCGCAGGACGAGCAGGCGGAGAGAGTGCAGGAGGATCTGAATGTTATGGCCTCCATAGCGAGTCCGGTCATTCTGCAGAGTCTGTCTGCAGACGGGGTTCAGCTGCAGGAGAAAGTCAGAAACACCCAGCAGCTCTTCTCTGAGGTGGAAGAGCAGACTGTGAGGAATATCCAGGATCTGGACAGGTAACCTTCATGTGATGTGTACAAAAGCTTTGTCTAACGCTACTTGGTTACATAACTGTATTTTAAAATGTGTTCATCATGAATGTGTATAAAGACACAAAGAAATCAAAACCAGACATAGTAGCTAACGAGGATATTTTGATAAATGAGACTTCGTCAATACAGGTTATACTGCCAATTCTTACTATAACCACTTATTTTAGAAACTCTGTTACAAATTGGGTCAATGGAACAAGTTAAACTTGTATTGTACTACTCTGTGGCAGTACCACTTCTCACTGTTGATTTTATTGACAGTGTATCATGGTTACAGCACATATGAGTCTGTGTCATGTAACCTGTATTTACACTGTGTGTGTGTTCTAGGCTGCAAAGGGAGACTGAGCATATACGACAGTGGTTGGAGGGCGCTGAGGAAAAAGCAGCGAAAGACGAGGATCTAAGTGTCCTGCAGGAGGAAGCGCTTCAACAAAGGTAAGCTTTGTTTTCTGATTCCACATGACAAGTGACAAGATTTCCCCCTCTAATAATAACTGAGCATCAACTCTGCACTGTTTCCCCTGCAGGGTGAGGACAGAGGAGCTCAACCAGCTTGTGTCCTCCTTGCAGAGCAGCAACCTTCAGCAGTGTGCTGTGGTGGAGCAGAGCAGGAAACTTCTCCAACAATACCACAACTTCATACAGGGCTCCACGGAGGAGCAGAGCTCTCTGAGCAGGGACATGGAGGAGTTTCAGACTCCTCTGAAGTCCACTCAACCCTCTGATGGAGATCTGAGAGGAACTGTTGATTCTCCGCTTGGTGAAAACCTCTCCACCCAGAGTCTGGTAAAGTGTCATCTAATAAGAAAATATTATTACATTATGACAGACTGAGCTGCCCCATTTCTTGGACATGTTATCTTAAAGGTGGGGTAGGTAAGTTTGAGAAACCGGCTCGAGGTACACTTTTTGTTATATTCCATGGAATGCTCTTAACATCCATAAAAAATGTCATCTGTGGAAGCCGTACTGTAAAAAGCACGACCAATCATCTGAGCCGGCCCGGTTAAAATAACTGGATGGCCTACCTGGCACACAGGGGATAGGCCTTCCATCTGTGCCACAAACTTATCTCGTGCCCTCATTGGTCATGTGCGCGTTCGTGTGTGTTGGAGGAGGGGCTCTGTGAGGAAGTGGCAGATTTGTTCCGGTTGAGTATTTTCAAATTCTAGCGCACTCGAGCTGATTTCTCCAAAATGTCCTACCCCACCTTTAACTAGCCATTATCTTTGTTTTCATGTAGTTTTGAAGTGGCAGTTGTTATAGCAGTGTGTAATGTGATACAGAGGGTGTGGCACTGTTCTGTGGTTTATTTACTTTCACATTTGTTTACACTTCTTTAATAAGGAGTGCCCATGTGTTGTTGGTGAACAGGTTTTGTAATGATGGATTAGTTTGCATAAATCAAAATAGATATTCATCAACACACTCTCCGGTCCCTGCAGTGACAGTTATCATATAATATAATATTTGAAATAAATAATTGATCAGAGTGGCATTAGAATGCAAACCTTAAAAATCCAGTTGTATGAAAATAATATTCAACCAATATTAACTTTTTAGTGTTAAAATTAACTTTGAAATGAACACATTTGGAATACGTCAGGTCGGGTCAATGAACGGAGACTTGAGCGCATCTGATTTGTTGTAGATACGCCGGTTTAGTCTCTGAAATCTTACACAGTATACACGCCCTCTGAGTGACGCTTGGTGTGTCATAAATGTCCACAGGGTTTGTGTCCCCGCCTCGAGGAAGTTGTGTGTAATGAGGAACAGCTTGGCCAGTCCCTGCAGGCTGTCAATCATAAACTGACATCCCTGCAGGGAAAGATGTCCGCCTGTCAAGCTCAGAAAGAAAGCTCCGCTGCTCTGATCACTGATTCACCGGCTCTGGAGGTGAGCTCCATTAAGTCAAGTGACTTTGTGAATCATAAACAAACTTTGTTACATTTTTTATTTCACATTCTTTAGGTATTGAAACAATGAACAATGTGAAGATGATTGAGAGTTTCCCAACATGAAGCCATCTGTATTGTATTTCTATTTATCTGTGTTTATCTGTCATTTTGTAGGCTTTGCTTCATGAAGTAACCGACGTAGAAAAAGACCTTTCACAAATTGCAACACTCAAGGACACCATTACAGCCATTTCTACAGCTGAGGCCCAGGCCAGCCTCTCTCAGGAAATCAGCAACCTGCAAAACCACCAGAGGGCGCTAGACAGCAGCATCAGAGAACAACTGGCACTGCTAACAGAAAACTCACTTCCTGCTCACAACAAGACTTTAATAACTCGGCAAGAGAACATTCAACCATTGCAGACGGACACTATCTTAATCCAGGACTCACAATTTCCAGCTATTGGCGAAGACACTCCGGAAGAAATCAAATCAGCACACTGTGTCACAACTCTAGTTGGATCCCAAGCGACAGAACTAAACCACTTCCCCCTTTCTACCCCTGGAAATGTGTCTGAACATCGAGCAGCACAATCGGTTACAGGTGCTCAAGAACAAGAGACGCAGTTAGGTGTAACACAGAAGAAAGTGTTTACCATAGTGTTGGACATGGAGCCACACCACATGCAGGAAAATGACAGTGTTGGCACAGCACAATCTGAGACATTGACAACAGTTACTGGTGCTCAAGAAAAGAGGGAACGCTGTGAGGATATCAGTGTGAGTCCAGCTAAAGTGTTTACAATAGTGCTGGACATGGAGATGCCTGACTTCCAGCCACAGGACAACGTACACATGCCAAGTACTCTTGAGAATAAATCCAGAGTCTCTTCAACATTAGATGAGACAGACTTGAACATCCATTATTTAAAGAGCCATGCATTAAATGAGCCTCAAGTGGAGGACACCCGGACCCCAATGGTGTTAAAGGAAATGGAGGATTCTCCAAGTGCCAAAGTATCATGCAAAGAAAAGTCACAAACCAATCCATTCATGCAGAATGAGGTGTTGAATCCCTCCAAATCATGCGGTGTTGTAACTGAACGTGAGCTCACAGGTGGTGCACATGCAGCAGAAACAACATGTCCGGATGTGAAGCAAGAAGAAATGACAACATTTCGTCACGTTGAGAAGCAAACAATGAACTCAGTCTCGTCCGCGGTGGAGGGAGAAGCCTTACCTGACAAACAAACACCTGCTGCAGACATTAAACAGCTGACGGCTGCTGACACTGCTCAGAGCGCAGGTACAGGACAGTGTGAGAGAGAAGAGGGAGGGAACGCAGGAGGAGAGGCCAAACCTGAACAACCCCAGGCCAACGTTTTAAAGGTGACAAAAAGACGATACAAAGCTGAGCTGCTGTTTGAAGGAAGTGAATGGAAGGGACCTGCATCGCTGGAGGACACAGAGGGGACACAGGGACAGGTAGATGTCATATTAAACGTTTTTTATGTGCCACAAAACCTGTGTAGCACACATTATCACAGGAGGGTGATTACAGCGGCTTTCCATGACAGCAGCTTCATCAATGCACTACAGTAGCTACATGCCAATCATTTAGAAATCATCCAAAGTAACCTGAGATCTTAAAGTGTTTATTCAGTGTTGTTTTAGCCCCTCCCACATACAAGTAAACATTAGTTTGTGTGATGAGTCATGATGAATCACAGGTGTATGGTTGTGATTAACGATATTCAATTTGTATTATTTTCGATTGACCTATCACTCAGTATTCTCCCTCCCTGCTGATTGATAGTGGTCACTCGATATCTGTAGAGACAGTTTGGTTACCTCAAGCCAAAGTGCTCAAAGGAATTTAGGAATTTCTCAGTGGGACATCCTGTCATTATTGTGAGTAATGGTAGGGATCCTTCCCTTTGAAAGAACAGACATTTTTTTCTCCAGGGTCGATGTTGAGGGTCCTAAAATATTCCCCCAAACATTTGTTTATTAAGAAACCATAAATGTAGTTTCCCTAATTTGACTGCTGATTAGATTTATTGCAATGGGGTGACTTGTGTTTAAACAGCAGTCTCACGCTTCCCAATTAAAGTGATCAGGATTCAGAGGACAGTTACAATAAAATACAAATTAAATAATACCAATAATGTGAGTTCAGTTATTCTTAATTTATTCTGCTAATTTTCCAATTTTAAATAAATACAAATGACTTGATATTAACATTGTTTCAAAAATGTAACCAGAAATATTAAAGTACGTTAACATATTTTCATAATTTGTACCTCCATGAACGTCAACTGACAGTTAGTACATTGGTCATATTCACCTAAATATTGAAACTGCTTTTGAGAAGGAAACAGTTTGACATATATACCTTTTGCTCTTTTTCCCCTGAGCAAATCAGAAACCTGCTGTTTTCAAATGCTCTTCCCGCTCTACCTGAACCCTCCTCTCAGACACACTGTGGTCATGCCTAAAGTATTTCCCAGGACTCCTCCCCCTTTGTAGATACCTTGCTGCTTGTGTCATGTTTTGTAGCCCGTCCTCTCTATCAGAGTTATAAAAGATCACTTGTATCTTTAGAGAAACAGGGGAGGAAGCACTTTATAGATTAAAAGCCTTCTCCCTCGGGGCAGACTGCTCCCACCCAGGCACATTCTTCTGTTAACTGTACTGACTCGCCGAGCTACATTGTAATATTTACCACTGGGCAGGGAAACGGCAGGAAGCTCTGTTATTATCTGTGGACAAACACAGGGAAGCAGGAGGCTAACATGTGACCCTGTCTTCTGTGTCTGTAGCTGCAGATGGAGGACAGCATGGAGCCCGAGAGGACAGCTGGGGGGGCGACAGGTGAATCACCAGAGTCCTTCAAACCCAAGTCCACCATGCGGGATGTTTTGTCAGAGATCCAGAGCTTGGTGGAAAAAAGTAACATAATAAATGTGAGTATTAACCTTTTTTATTTTCCTTTTTGTCACAGCTTGTTGCACATGTCTCAGAGTTAGAGCTACTGGAGGCTTGTTATGTTGCTCAACTGTTTGTCAATAAACTCATTTGTTGAAGTCAGATCTTATGTGTATATCAAAATCTATCTGAATTGATTTGGTTTTAGAAGTTTGTGTGAAAAACAGGTTATTTTGTTAGGTTAGTGGCACTGGTGTGTTTCCTGTAGTTGCACACATTACCTGTAATAAGCATAACAATGAAAATCATCATTTAGTTTTTAAGCATTTGAGTTTCTGATTTTCAACATAGCTGCATACAGTAGATCAAAAGTGTCCAGACAGGCCAAGAAGTGTTATCTGTGAAACAGGGGACCGATAAGAGCGGCAGTGTTATGATGGATGATTGTGTATATATTCCCTTGATGCTGCTGACACGAAGGTCCACAGGATGGACCAACGAGCTACAATAACTTCCTGCAGGGTCATTAGTGGGAATAATTACTCACAAAAAACACAGTCAGTACGGTATACACAGTCTCTCCCTTACACTAACACAAGTTGACTCGTTTTTTGATGCCAAGTGTGATAGTGTTTAATTTTAGATAGATTATTTATCATATTGACAAGTATAACTTTAAAAAGAGAGAGGTTAAAGTAAATCAAACAATCTAAGCTTGAAACAGAAAATATATGCCTTTTTATTATGATTTGAATCACTTTCAAAGCTATAATACAAAACATGTCCTACAGTAGTTACAGTTTTCAAATATGAGGATTGGACTGTTAGATGTATACATACATGGATTATAACATTTTCTACACCATAAGATCAAGATCAATCAATCATGAAAATATTCTGTAGATGAACTAGCATACATTGTTTTTCTTCGTGAATAACTTGCCAAATATTTTCAATTTGTTTGTGATCATAGCGAGACCCACACATTGATTTGAATTGGTACCTGAAGTCCTCTCCTGGTGAACCAGAGATCCGATTGGTACGAACTGTTCAAAAGGTCCTGGCATGCCGCTATCAACCAGCACGACTCGATGTCCACGTGATGACCGAGCAGCTGCAGGAGGCCGAGGTATGCACGTCCGTTAAGCCCTTTTCCTCGTTTATGTCTAGATAAAGTATCACGTGATCTGATGTCTGTTCTCTCCGCTATAGGACTACAGGTGCCGTGTGCAGGAGCAAGTTGCTACTATGAAAAGCATGCGCAGTGCGGGTATGTGTGACCCTGAAGCCCTGAAAAGAGTGGAGGGGCAGTGGAGCGCTGCCCTGCTCGACGCCTCGGCCACAGTGCAGGTCAAAGCAGCTCAGCTGGACCAGGTCCAACAGTACCACAAACAGATGAGGATCACCAGAGCTTTCCTGGAGGTTGTAGCAGCGGAGAAGGACAAGATGGCCTTGTGAGTAATTGTTTGATTTCAAAGTGAGCATTAACTCTACATACAATCCTGTTTGTTTGTGTACCACTTACAATACATTTTCTTTTGTTGTGTTTTTTCCCTTCAGAGGCTCTCTGGGTAGCAGTGCCCTTCAAGCGGACAGACTCAACGCCCTGCTTCAAACCATGGTGAAGAAAAGAGACATAATGGAAGAGCTCCTCCGGTTGAGTAGCCAATTTTCCGTCCATTTGAGCGACGCTGAGAGTTCGGGTGCTCTTTCAGCCCAGCTCGGAGATGTCCAGGAGGAATGGAAGCTTTTAGAAGGAAGCATCCAAAGAGCTCTTCAACATGCCTCAAGCTCCACCTCTCAGTCCTTGCTTTTATTACAAGAGGCCGAACAGCTTAAAGCCAAGCTGGAAGCTCTTGGGGAATCCAGCTTTCAAAGCCATGACAACAAGAGCGCTTTAGAAGTTGTTTGTCTGACAACAGACCTTAAACTGTACAACCAGCTTTATGTGCACTTACAGTCCCAGGCAGACGCTCTCGTCCATTTCTCTCTGGGTCAGAAAGAGAAGGATGAAATCAAACTTAGTCTTCAGGAACTAGGGTCTTTGCTAAGTGTCAGCAAAAGCAAGCTTGGCACTTCCACAACCAGCAGTGGCGACGTTTCCTCCGCTAAAATCAGCAAGCAACTACAAGACTTGATCATTGGGGCCAAGCAGGCAGAAAACCACATCTCCATCGGGAAGAAGTTAGCCCTTTTCCCCGAGGAGGCCCGTGTTCAGATTGTCGAGATGAAGAAATTTCAGACTGATATTTGGTTTCGAAGGTCCAAGATGCAGGTGGAAGTTGAGCAGATCAAAGAGACACTCTCTGATAAGGAAAAGCACGAAAGTGACCAAGAGTTAAAGACGATAGAAGACCTCTATGAAGCCATCGCTGACAGCTTGGATCATGTTCTCGACACCATGAAGAAGAGTCTGCAGGAGAGGGAGAAACTGTTGAGCCAGCTTGCTAGCATGGAAGCCTGGCTAGCACAAACACATGCCGAAAGAGACCCCTGCACCCAGGTTGAGAATGTTTCAAAAGCTGACATCAGGAAGCTGGAGAGCAAGCTGAAAAGTCATACATTAGCCACAGGGGAGATAGAGAGCCAACTTAAAGACGTAGAAGCAATGGCCGACAGTTGCAGGGACATAGCTGTCGGGTTGAGTCCAGGAGAGAGCCGCTACCTCGTCAACAGGATGTCAGGACTCCGCACAGAGTTAGAGGGACTGCTAGCTCATGAAAAGGCAGCCTGCTGGGAACTAGAAGAGCTGATTCATGAGCGAACCACTTCGGATGAAGAGCTATCAACTATCCAGACCAGTTTAAAGCAAATATCCAGAGATTTGGAGCGGCAAAGATTCCCTTTAACGCAGGAAACCCTCACAACATGCGCACATTTGAAGCACATGCTAATAGAGCATCAGTGTCAAGTACAAGAGCTGCAGCACTGTCAGGAGGCCAGGAGATGTTCGCTGCTGTGCACCATTGGCGAACTGCAAGACCAGTGCAAAGCTCTCAGTATTAACGCCATTGAGCAAGACAAATATCTGCACCTCAGGAGACAAATGGAGGAATCCAGGGACATCGCCGAAGAGCAAATCCAGCGAGCCAAAGATAAGACGATCAGTGTGGGTGAGAGGGTCAGACTCTGCCAAACACTCTTGGTTGAACTCCCCCTGGTGAAGACGCAGTGTCAGGAAGCAGCAGACCAGCTGGAGGCCATAGCTCAGGAGTTGTACCCGTCTGAGTGTGACTCAGAGAAGCAGAGGATCCGCAGCACTGTGGAAACGTTAGTCTCCTGGGAGCATTCGGTCGCAGATGATATCAAAAACCTCGAGGCCAAGCTTCTGCTAGGTCTGCGGTTCTCCTCCGAGCTTCCTGCCTTAATAGAGCTCTTCCTGACAACACGAGACGAGTTGCAGCGAGCCGAACCGGTAACCCCAGATGAGAAAGCCATAGATATTGCACTCAGAAGGAACTGGATTATCTGGAGGAATATGGAGTCTGGGATGAGGGTGTTGGGAGGTCTGGGGCGGAAAGAAAAAGTGAACCTGAAGAGCTACGAGGAACTTTACTCTCTTAGGGAGGCAGCCATGCAAGAGTGCCACTTAAGAATGGTAAGCTTACATCCATTGAAAATCATACTTTTGTGTTTTGTTTCTCGAAACTGTGCTTGATCGTGTAACATGTATCCAACAGGAGAGTTTATGCCAGGCGAGAGAATCCTTGAAAGATTACCAGTGGGCGGCTCAGGGAGCAATAGGCTTCCTTCATAACGCAGAGGCCACTTTCCTATCAGCTCCTGGAGGCTTCCTCGACTGCACTGAGGAGCAAAGGCAGACTCACCAGGCTCTGGAGGCTCTTGAGGACGGATTTCAGGCTCACATCTGCCACCTTGTGGAGCTGGTGCCCCAACAGCCCTGCCTGTCCCGCCCCAAGACGGAGCAGCTCCACATCTGCATCCTCAGTCAGCTGTTGGTGGGACGAGCCATACTGGAGGCCCAAGCTCAGCTCAGGCTGGAGTCCTTGCAGAGGTAATGCTCTTGATTCGTTGAAGTGTGTCATTATGTCTCAGTTTTTCTACGTAAAACAACTTAAAGACATTTTTCTTTCTCACAGGTGTGAAATTAGACAGCTGAGCCACAGAAAGTGCCATGAAGACATACGTCAGCGCCTCTCAGGATTCGAAGCCAAGCTTTCAGAATGTGCTGCAGAACAAGTCACGTCGTATGACAAGTGTGTGGCCCAACAAAGAGAAGCAAAGGTAGGTTCGATGCAGTTGTATAATTATGGATTTGTCTACATATTGGATCGTCTCAAACCTTGCTTGCTCTACATAGATTTACAAATATAACATTTCAAAATACAGCACTTTTTATGACCAAATACCAGCAATACAAAAAAAGCGGACTATTTTCCATTAGCTCCAGCACCCCTTGCCACCCAGCTTTTTTTTGACATGTAACAGGAGGACTGCCTGATTCAAACTTACATCTTCACTTCATTTCATCCCTACGCAAAGCTCTTGATGGAAGGCCTCCGCA